ATGTGTGAAGCGCATTTCTGGTGTCCCCCGCCGTGATATTGCTGGAATATTGCTAAAAGCTACCTAAAACCATACTCACTCACTCACTCACTCACTCACTCACTCACTCACTCACTCACTCACTCACTCACTCACTCACTCACTCACTCACTCACTCACTCACTCACTCACTCACTCTTTGCTAATTGACTATGATCAGAATCTGTGTCTCTTAGAGTTACTTCACATTGTAGCAACTTGGCATGTTCATTGCACTTGTTGATCTAAATGTACTTCCAAAGAACATTCACATCTGTCAAATAGTTTTAATGGCCACATGAACCATATTATTCATACGCCATAGACACTGCGAACTGAGGACATACTTTGCTGTATATTTGTTGTGGCTTGGTATGAATGCATCGTAAATGTACTGGCAGACCCCTGAATCTGAAAGTTAAGGGTTAAGATGAGACTGAAAGTGTTCTCTTTGTATGATATGGATACAAGTGGCTGTACAATGTGTAATAGGTCCCCCCATCACATCTTGTTAACTTCCTCATTGATGTCAGTCTGGAACAGCAAGCACATTGTGTTTATTTTCAGTTATTGTCACAATCAGCAATACTCCCACTATATGAGTTCATAATAATCTGTAAATAATCAAGTCTGGACCAATATTATAGCGGAAAAATAGGGATGGGTGAGTGAGTGATTTTAGTTTAGGTTTACGCCACATTCAGCAATAATCCAGCTATATGGCGGCGATCTGCAAATAATCAAGTCTGGACCAGACAGACCAGTGATTGACATCATGAGCATTGACCTACCCAACTGGAGTGTGTTGACCGCTAGTCTGTCTCACAGTCCCCGAACCCCATTATTTTCCCTACTGCCAAGCCCTATCTGCAGTGCTAAAGCCCTAAATAGAGCAAGTCTAGATGTCCTCAGGTTCTGAATCTCTGGACTCAGCATTAGTCTAGTTGATCGCCAGCCACCAAGTCAGTGAGTCTGACTACCCAATCCTGTAGGTTGCATCTTATGAAATGGGTTGCTAAAGGCTAATTCTGTGCCATATGTCTGCTAAAGAATGCAGTTGGGTGAAACAATATTTTGGGATGCACAATACTTTATTCCGTATTGAGACAAGACCATACACTTGCTTTAAAAAAATGACCCAGTACTCTTTCAATGACTGCCAGTGTTTCTGCCTGTCAAATTTTGCAGAATGAGTTCTCTGAGTACTATCAACAACATAGGCAGATCCAGAGGGGGGTGCAGGGGTGTGCCTCCCCCACCCCCCTCTTGTCCTGAAAGTTTATTAAATGACCATTGAAACTCACATGAAAATGAAGTGTGCACCCCCCCCTTTCTCAAAAAACCGTATCCGCCCCTGAACAATAATGTGACCAGGATGGTGTTGAGAATGATGCAGCCATTAAACTTATGTAATTCCTGTAATTATGCATATTATGCATAATGACCGCTGTCAGACTCAAACACTGTGGTTGTACATGATGTATGTGTATAATCTTGCAATTATCCCCAGCCTTTGTCCCTGTTCTCCCAGATCCGAAGACGCACAGATCCACTCCATTCACACAGCTAGTTTGATATGCTGACTAGATAATTGTCTTGGAGACATCTGTCAGGCTTCGTCATTATATTTAGGATTCTTGGATAATGACTGATAATTATCTGTCCTACCTCCTCTGATTATTCATGAGCATGTATTTCTCTTGTGTCTGACCACGTCTTGTGCATGTGAATGGAGTATCTTTAGGGGCAGTTGCTTGTGCTATTTTATTACGTGATACGGTGCATATGGATTAGGATTGTAATTGGGAGAAGAATTATTTTATTTATCTGTTTGTAAAATGTATTACTTTGTAAATGAACAATGGAATCTAAAATATTTTTCATCCCAAACTGAGTTCCACAGAAGTCGCAACAATGAAATTTCATCACAGTAGTTCGCAGGCTATTACGACGTCATCTGTTGCCATGACATCATAATCAAATAACATATCTAATCTCTCTGCCTCTCAAGCTGGTTAGCTGCACGTTTTACCTTAAGAAGCTGTTGCTACTGTTACAAACAAAAAATGTTGAAAAGATGATTTGGGGTGATAAAGAGAATCTCATCCTTGTGTCTTGATTTCAGATGTAGCAACACATTTAGATAAAAGTTGAAATCCTGATAGCCTCTTTAAGTATTTAACGACTCATGTTGAAATTTCAATGTCACAAGAGACTTGGGTTCTGTTTACATTTTTATTATTGTAAGGGAAGTTGAAAATTGATCTCACTGTGGTAGTGTTGCAAGTTATCCATTGTATAATCTGTTTGCAGTGAAAATGTACCGATGAATTTCACTTTTAACAAACAGGTAAATCAAATTTAGTGAAATTAAGATTGCGAATCCTCATAATTTTACCTTGCCAAATGAACATTTAAATCTCAAAATTTTATTCATCTTAGGATAAAAGTTGTTTAACAAACGATCATAGATTCAAATCGCTATTATTGGTTTCTATTACAAGGGGGTAAGCGCAGTAGATGGAACAGTGAAACAAAGGCACGGGCGGGACGTGATAAGCGTTAACTTAGACCAAGCCCTTCTTGTTCTCAGTGTTTCATCTAATGTGCATACCCCTTGTAATTATACAAACCAATAATAGCGATTTGAAACTATGATCGTTTGTTAAACAACTTTTATCCTAAGTTGAATAAAATTCTGAGATTTGAATGTTCAATTGGCAAGGTAAAATTATGAGGAATCGCAGTCTTAATTTCGCTTTAATCGATTTACTTTTTATTTAGAGTGAAATTCATCGGTACGTTTTCACTGCAAACAGACTATAGAGTAGATGATGATGTAATATTTATTTGCATTGTGACAAACAAGGGGAGCTTGCAGCGTGTCCGGAGTTCAATCCTCCACATAGGTACATTGTGTTAATGGTTTTGGTATCACAATGTAGGTCTGTTAAACAATACTCACTCAGTAACTGGCAATGTTCAGTTTCAAATTGTTCAGGGTGGTAGGGTAGCCTAGTGGTTAATGTGTTCGCTCATCATGCCGAAGACCCGGGTTCGATTCCCCACATATGTACAAGCAGGGGTGGAAATAACCCATTGCCCGACGTCCGAGTCCAGTGTTTTTTTCTGTCGGGCAAGCAAATTTGTATATCACACTGTACCGGTGTCCAGTTGACTTTCCAATGTTAATTATGTTGTTTATTTTAAAAAATCAACAAGAAAACGGCCGGTATAGTGGAAAAATTATCAGGGCAAGTGATTTTACATGTGCCACTGTTCCAGAGTACACTAGCAATTTTAAAGTTATTTCCACCCCTGACAAGGTGTGAAGCCCATTTCTCACCAGGTATCCCACCATCATGTTTCTGGAATATTGCAGACAGTGGCGAAAAACAAGGCTCACTCACTGTGGGGTGGTCAAAGCAAGCCTATTGCTGTCTTGGTCAATCATTGCTACGGTCATTTAATCTTGTGTGAAGGTCAAAACTACCGGTATATGTTGGACTATCTAGTTTACAGAAGAGATTTCCATCATCCCATCGTAAAGGCTGAATATTTTGTTCAAGTTGTCAATCTCCGTATCATCAGATATTCTTGATGGTATAAATTCTGGGAAAAAATGGCACATGCATATTCATTTGAAACATTTTTTGCACATTGTGCTCAGTAATAAAAAGAACTTTGAATGATCTAATTGTTAAAATGAACTAAACACTGCACGTTAACATAATAAATCCAGTGAATTTTTGTGGATAAACACAAATATGGGTTCTGCTGTTCATCTCATTTGCATAAAGGTGCAAGTTAGAGTCATGGGGGATACTTAAAGTAACGTACATGACAAAAAAACATCCATAAGGGGAAGATGATGCTAACTTGAGACTGTTATTTACATTTTATACTATCATAATGGTAGTTACAGATGAGAAATATTGGCATTTGTGAACATGTTTAAATAAAATAGCAGATGTGTCATTTTCGGTCATCCTTTGTCCAAGGTGCCCATGGAATGTTGGGATTTCTATGAAGGCTCCACTTCTTAGTATTTTCATCCTCAATCTTAGTTCCTCTCGATCTTGGATGTCTCTTGATTGGCAGCACAGGATTGCCGATTTCTTCTTTATCATAGAGGACAGATCTTTCTGCATGCTTATCTTTGAGCCTGCGAGTTTTGCTACATTGGACATGGCTTCCTGATTGGACATGTAAATGAAGGTTGCTTCAATGCTCCTGATCAGCGTGTTTACACTGGTTTTCAGAGATGGGCAACTGGGGCATGACTTTGAAGTAGATGTTATTAACTCTATGTTCTGAGAAGATCAGTTGTTAATGAAATTTACTGAGTGCACGTTCAGTGTTTTCTTCCGTTGTTCCTGGTGTGCCATAAACCAAAAGATTTGATCTTCTTAAATGGTCATCTTTCAAAGGAAACTGCTTTCCTAAACTGTTATTCATCTTTACCTTCTCACTCTCTGATCTGTCTCAGGCTCATGATTTCACTCATTGGTTTGCTTGGTGCAGATGTCATTATTTACATGATGTCATTGCTGACTATATTGCTTCTGGTCAAATCACTGGTCCGTTAAATGGTTACGTATTGTATGCTTGTGTTCCTTGACAACTCTCTGGCTTGTGGACAGGTCACCCATGAAGATCCGGGTTAGAATTGGTCTTCAGCAACCCATGCTTGTCGTAAGAGGCGACTAACGGGATCGGGTGGTCAGGCTTGCTGACTTGGTTGACACATGTCATCATTTCCCAATTGTGTAGATCGATGCTCATGCTGTTGATCACTGGATTGTCTGATCCAGACACGATTACTTGCAGACCGCTGCCATATAGCTGGAATATTGCTGAGTGCGGCTTTAAACAACAAACCACCCAACCAATTGTGGATTGTCACTAAACTTGATGATGTTGCTTGTTGTCAGATCCCTTACTTTCTGTTGTAATTTATTGCTTGCTTTTGTCCATGTCAGATCCCCAAACTGCAGAAGCACACTCCTCCCCCGTCTGGACTGTACCGGACACCATCAGAGTTTGACCGCATCAACAGACAGAAGGAAGTCAACCGCAGAGCTGCCGAGGTACTTGAACCAGAAGCAACTAGGTTCAGTCAGAACACACTGTTAATTCACTGGAGAATCAATATTGTTTGAGTCAGATTGTCTGAATATCAGTTTCACATCTATATTATCAGGTGGTTTCGCATTGGAAGTGCCAGAAATCAAAGAAAATTAACGTTTGTAATGATGTTAATCCCAATCTCCTTATGTTTTGGGTCTATTGTGTTTCATTATCAAACAAACATCAAAGGTTAGGTGTGCACAGTGTCTGTGTATCATTATTTGTGTGTATAGAGTCTCCTGTATAATGTCTCTTGTATGTAGTGTCCGCCCGGAGAGCGGAAGGTCGCCGGGTTCGATCCCCAACCGCGCCATACCAAAAGACGTTAAAATATGGTACTTGTTGGTCCCTGCCTGGCGCTCGCATGAATGGGTACAACAAGGACTGGTCAGCTCGGAGTCAGTATAATGTGTCTGGGTGGGGTATTCATGCTTCACTGCGGCATGGTATCTCAATGGGCTAGCACTATAAAGCCAGCTTAAGCCTGGGCTAGTACAAGCAGCCGCACATACACATACACACGCATGCACGTCGTCATATGAGCGAAATATTCTCAAGCACGACGTTACACCCAATTTCACCTCACCTCACCTCACCTCACCTCACCTCACCTCACCTCTTGTATTTAATGTTCCAGGAGAGGCTGATGGAAGCATCTAGGATACAGTTTGCGTGTGCCAACCCAGAGAAGTCTCAGAAGGCAAAGGAAGTTCTAAATAACATTATGTCAGAAGAAGACGGAAAACTGGACTTTGACAAGCATAAAGCCCACCCTGTGCCTGGGTTTCTGGTGAGTTCTGGAACACACAAACATAAACATACCCTGTCCAAGAACACTCTGACATAAAGTCACAATCCTAGAACATACCAACATAAAGCTCGCCACCTTGTCTCAGAACATATCCACATAGAGCCACAATCCTAGAGCATACCAACATAAAGCCTGCCATCTTGTCCTGGAACATATCAACTGTCCTAAAACATACCACCATAAAGCCCGCCACCTTGTCCTAGAACAAATCAACATAGAACCACTGTCCTAGAACATACCAACATAAAGCCTGCCACCTTGTCCTAGAACATATATACATATAGCCACTGTCCTAGAACATACCAACATAAAGCCTGCCACCTTGTCCTAGAACATATATACATATAGCCACTGTCCTAGAACATACCAACATAAAGCCTGCCACCTTGTCCTAGAACAAATCAACATAGAACCACTGTCCTAGAACATACCAACATAAAGCCTGCCACCTTGTCCTAGAACATATATACATATAGCCACTGTCCTAGAGCAAATCAACATAGAACCACTGTCCTAGAACATACCAACATAAAGCCTTCCACCTTGTCCTAGAACAAATCAACATAGAACCACTGTCCTAGAACATACCAACATAAAGCCTGCCACCTTGTCCTAGAACATATATACATATAGCCACTGTCCTAGAACATACCAACATAAAGCCTGCCACCTTGTCCTAGAACAAATCAACATAGAACCACTGTCCTAGAACATACCAACATAAAGCCTGCCCCCTTGTCCTAGAAGCAAATCAACATAGAACCACTGTCCTAGAACATACCAACATAAAGCCTGCCCCCTTGTCCTAGAACAAATCAACTTAGAGCCACTCTGTCATAGAACATACCAACATAAAGCCACCATATTGAACAAACCAACATAAAGCCATATAAATGGCACCTATCCAATGCCTAGACTCATAGTGTGTCCTAGAATATAGACTCTTCCAGACTCTATATTTGCTACCACTGTGTACAATGAAGAAATGCCTAGACTCATAGTGTGGCCTAGAATTTAGACTCTTCCAGACTCTATATTTGTTACCAATGCCTAGACTCATAGTGTGTCCTAGAATTTAGACTCTTCCAGACTCTTTATTTGTTACCACTGTGTACAATGAAGACATGTGTATTGAATGTCACTAATCTGTTAAGTACTGTCCAATATGAATGACTTGACTGTGGATGTGGTACATACAGTTTCATTTGAGTAACTTTATTTTCAGAGCAAAGAAGTTCCAGTGAAACTGAATGCAGCCAGTATTCTCAGAGAAGGCATGCTGTACCAGCGTAAAGAGGAGGAAGAGTTGAAGAAGTAAATTGTTTTAGTACTTCTGATTGGTAGAAAGCTGAGACTATAAGAAGTAGTTAGACAAGGATGCATTATAACAAATGAGTATTTTTTTAAAAGCACAGTGTGTTCTAAGACATGGTAAATGATACATATCTACTTAGGTTGCTGTGTTCAGATTATGACATGTCTCATGCTGTCAGTTTGCATCATGGAGTTATCTCCCCTGATGTGCTTTTCTGTATGTGTGTCAATAATTGAAGACAGAGCAAAGAACAATTTTATCTGATGTTGTGAAGACACTTTGTTAAGTGACTGATCATTATTTTTACAGGGTGGTTGTTCAGTTTGAACTGTGTCGTTTTCTTCACTGTGCATGAATTGCTTCAAGTTTGATGCTTTATATTAAATCATTGAGATGCATGCATTGTAAAGTTTGAAAATTGTCTCTCTGTTGCAAGATGCTGTAGCAGCAGCATCAAGGAATCATGACAGGACTGAAACATAACACTATCCCTGTAATGTTGTAGGCTCGAGAAATTGGAGGCAGGGGCTCGAGATTCCTCAGCGTTTATACGCTGGCAGTCCGATATGAGGCAGCGGGACTTGGAGGTGCAATTGGCTGAAATTGAACGTCGGAGACTTGAGGGCAAGCTAAGTCACGAGGAAGCCATCTTGGCCCGACAGAATTTGATTCGCGACAACAAGAACAAAGTGCAAGACATGAAGAAAGAGGTTGGTCCAGAGACAAATAGTGTCACATGATCGATTCTTAGGTTGTCAAAGTCATTTTCTCTTATCGTTATGTAAATCATTTTCATATATGATGATTTTTAAATATGTCTCTTAAATTTGCTCATATATTCTGATTATGAAAAATCACCTACCTTCCTAACCTTGCTTGTACTCAACCAGATATATGTTACATATAGTGATATTCCTGAGAATTCTATGTTAAATATATGTTACCTTTACCTCATATGGTGATATTCCTCAGAATTTTCTATGTTAAAGCAGAACTCTGAATCTCTTCACCAAACTTGGCACATAGATAGATCTGGTGGTGTACTGGTGCTTTTGGTAGTTTTGGAATTCTGAATAAAACATTTTTGTCGTTTCCATGGCAACTAGTTTGACTTAGCTTGAAATTGGTGATAGTGCTCCTTTCTGGAGCAGAACTTTAAAAGCCTTTCAATACTCTCCTTCACCTAAGTATTTGACATAATCATAACTCGAAGACATAATTACAGTGATGCAGGGGATATTTGTTTGTTCTTGTCTGTTCTGTCAGACCGAGGAGCTAATGAAGGAGTTCCTGGAGAAGAAGTTCCGAGAGGAGCAGATGATGAAGTGAGTTGTCATTGGATGCTGATCTGTTCCCAATGTTGATGCATTGTAGTTCACTGAGACTCCATTATGTCAGTACATATCATTCAACATGATGTAGCGGTTTTAAGGCTAGTCAATAAGGAAGAATAATTATCTGTAGTTTATTATTGAGCCATTTGGAAATTCTCCAGCTGTGTTTCTCAACTGCCATATCCATTCATCTATACTGTGCAGCTGAACTATTGTCAATAATATTTATAAATACCATGTGTTTCATTCTGCAAATGTTTGTAAACACAGATCTATGACATTTGTTGTGGTAACATTTTTAAGTTAAGTCCACAGACTTTTACGTACTGCAAGTATAATCCAAGAGTTGTATGACATAAAGTACTGTGAATCTTTCCAAGGGCTTGTGGATGATCGCTTCATTCCTGACTTGTTCAAAGTCACAAGAGTTTTATCTTGCCCATGCTCTCAGTGACAAGAATATGTGGGCTGATTATTTTTAGTTATGTTAAACCATATTCACTGCATTAGGGAATGCTACTTCTAGATATCCATATAAACACTGGTTTTCACTAGTGTTTGTGCCCCAAGTCCTTATTTTAGCAAATGCGTTTTGTTTTTATTAATTCACAGGAGACAAATTGGAGTTAGTACTTATCAGATGTACGATTAGATATTATTTTTAAACAGCTTCAAGTGAAAAATAGGGCTAGTTCATATTCATCAGGACCAGTTCATTTTTCTAGCTACAAGCATGGGTGGCTAAAGGGCTACTGCTTAGGTTTCTAACACATATACACTCTTACAGCATGTCCAATGTTTAGAGAAAAAGTGATGACAAGTGGTACTGTTTTCCAGACAACTTGTGGAGGACACAATGCAGGGCCATAGAAACGCCAAAGATGCCAAGAAGAAACTACAGGAGTACAAGCAGAAAATTGGTTGGTATTACAGTATTAACAAATAAGCAATCTTCATATTAATCAAGCTTATCTTGTCATATTGCAGTTGGTTCCAAACAATGACTAAATTGGGTGGGACAGTCGGGCTTGGTGACTTAGTCGCTTGTTATCACATACCTCAGTTGCGCTTGACAATGCTTATAACATCAACACTCAGGTTGTCTATTCTTGACTTCATAATTATCAGGATGCTTTGTTATTGGGGAAATATGGTTCACTTAGGAGATAAACATCATGTGTTGGCCAATTTCGGGTGTTATTGAGTATTTGAAGCACGGGAATTCATTTGGAACTGACGTTAGCCGGAGGTTTCAAATGAAATATTCCCATGCTTCAAATACTCAATAACACCGGAAATTGGCCTACACATAATGTTTATCGACATTGTAAACACAAAAGTAAACCAAAAGGCCCACATGGGTTTTACTGTCTGCACTCATTGACATCGAGTACGGGTACAGCAGTAAAGTGTATCAGCAGTTTCAGGATCCCATGGTCATCAGCCGGCCGTTTTGTGCTGAATCCCACGGTAGCATCTGCAACTGCATTACCACTGCTGCTGACGCAACAATACCATTGTGTCCGATATTTCTACGTGTCAATACGCAGTGAATAGTCTTGCAATTTCCAGGAACCGAATACCATTTGATCATGTTTTTCAACCAATCAGATTAAAGAACCCAATTTTGGTATACAACAGTCGCTCTTTTGTCTTGGAAAAACTGTCTAGGTTAATAGTGCCAGAATTATCTGTTTTTCTAAAACTTCTTACTGTGAGTATTACTGGCAGTCTTACATTAAAACTCTGTGTTCATCTTCAAGTGACCGCCTCCATGGTGTAGTGGTTAGAGCGTCCGCCCAGAGAGCAGAAGGTCACGGGTTCGATCCCCGACCGCGTCATACCAAAAGATGTTAAAATATGGTACTTGTTGGTTCCTGCCTAGCGCTCGGCATTAATGGGTACAACAAGGACTGGTCGGCTCGGAGTCAGTATAATGTGTCTGAGTGGGGTATTCATGCTTCACTGCAGCATGGTATCTCAGTGGGCTAGCACTATAAAACCAGCTTCAGTCTGGGCTAGTACAAGCAGTCGCACATACACATACACATACACACGCATGCACGTCATCATATGAGCGAAATATTCTCAAGCACGACGTTAAACCCAATTTCACCTCACCTCACCTCATCTGCATGTATGTGTTGTTTACAGTTCAGGAGGTCACTGAGGAGAGTAGGGAGCTGATGCAGAAAGCTTTGGAGAAGGTATGTACAGGACTTGTCGTATAACTTGGTGTATTAAAAACCCGCCACAAGCAGGAACAATGAATGAAAATAAAATTAGCATACTCGATGGAATAGAACATTAGAAAAAATTAAAATTTTGCCTTATCCTGACTCATGCTAATTATGCTTGTCTCCTTCCTCTTGTGAATGATAGTGGAACACTTGAAATCCCTTGAAGTTCCCTTTTAAAAAAGAGGACGTAAAATCACTCACCCAAGAGTAGCGTCCCTTTCCTCCCTTTGGCGCCCAAATGGTCACATGATCAGCCATATTTGTCACTCTCTCCTTCTTCGCCCTTGAGGACGGTTGTGAGAGCACCTGGGTCCCTATACGGCACATATCCTTTTATATTTTCGGACCTTACATCAAAATTATTGCTGTATACGTTTTTAGGATTATATTCTACATTACGGTTGGAAATTTGATTTAAATTTTCCGTTGTTTGACATGTGTTTTCTTCATGTTTACATTTGATGAAAACTTGTATTCGTTGTAGATACCGAGTGTCTGTGGCTGACCCTCATTTATTATGTCCTAATTGAACTGTTTCATCTTCCTTCTACTCTCGCTGCAAGTCTTGTGTAAATTTAAATGTGGTTGAATTTAATAATTACCTTGTTTTCCATCCATAGACATGCTAAGGACTGGGTACGTAGGTATTCACAAGTCATGTCTAAATCGAGTGATTGCGCTGATAACCGTGTGTTAACCACTACTGCAGATATTCATAATTCTAGTGAATTGCTGAATGTTTCTCAGGAGCAGGTCGATGTACCAGGGGTGAACGCTGGAGGCCATAAGAGATCATTGTCTACTGAGCTGACCTCATCGCAGATGAAGAAGGCCAAATCTTCATCTTCGCAGAAGAAAAAGGCTACTACCATGAAGACTTCAGTGAAGTCTAAGATCAGCTCTACACAGAAGACGAGGTCTTTCTCAGCCGAGATTGTTCTTCCGAAGAAGCAGATGTTTATGATGATCCACCCATCCTCATACCTGAAGTCACCATCATCAGTAAGAAGACGAAGCCTGCTTCTACAGCTACATCAGCATTGGTATCAGAGTGCAGACATTGACAGAAGACCTGCTATCAATGCAGACATCGGGTACCAGAGATAGCAGCAGTGTCAACTGCAGTGAGCCTCTTCAGACAACGCAGAACTTCAACCTGGGACTGTTCATGCAACAGTTCACAGACGAGATGATGGAACGTCGTTTTGCTCAGGAGAAGGCTGCTATGAAGACCGCTACAACGACTACTAGCCTGCATGACGGCTCTACAGTCTCCCCACCACATCCGAATGAAGAGGGAAGCCTGCGCGAAGGCTCTCGGACACGATGATCTTCCCCATCTGAAGTGAGGAGTCTGGACTCCGCTACCAACGTAGACGCTCCAGAGATTGCTGCTAAGAAGTCTCCACGCAGGAAGGAATCGAGGTGTTCTCCAGAACCCTACAGACGTCGCAGATATGAGTCTTCATCTCCATCGGACTCTGATGCCCATCAAGAGCCTGCACGAAGGCACTCCTACAGAGGGGAAGCTACATCCAGGAACCCCACCTTCGCGAAGGCCTAGAGTATTATCTCAAAACCAGGAAGGATTCAAGATCGCATCGGGATCAATCGCCTGCGCGAAGCTCTTCATACAGATCATCCCATAGAGAGAGGGGAGATTACGTCAATCAGCCTTCGTGAAGGCTTAGAGAGATATCTCAAGACTCCAGGAGGAATACACGGTCACACCGGAACCGTTCACCTGCACGCAGCTCTACATAGAGATCTACATACAGAGACTCACGTTAGTATGGATCTTCAGATAGGGAAATGTTCAACTGCACCGTCTGAAGTTAGAAGTCTGGAGAACTCTACTAGCTCAGCATAGCAGACCCCTCCGATGACAGTCGCCCTGCACGAAGGAATATTAGCTATACAAGCTCTCTCGGATGAAGGCCTGCACGAACGGTTACGTTCGCGAAGATCTTTACTGTCAGAAGTATCACCAGTTAGAAGCCTGGAGGATTCAACTAACTCCAGCTTAGCATTAGCAGTCCACAATGGAGCCTCCACGCAGTTTCAGCGTCTCAGCAGGAAGGATTCTAACACAGAAGTAGATCCAGTCGTTCTCCAGGATTCTAGAGACTGCGCAGATATGGATCTTCCAACTTTGACCTTCATCAACCTGCGCGCAAGCACTCACGGGGAGGATTATAATCAGAGTCAGCATGTCCCGCCATTCAACGATAGCAGATTTCCCCTTCATCATACGGAGCCCTTCATGATACATCAGGGTTTGAGATTACAAGATAATCAGTGAATCCGTAATAGATCTTCAAGATGGAAGATAAGAAGATAACGCAACTGGACACTACAACTAGATGATGGCTGTGTTGGATCAACGTGTGGCTGAAGGAAGAGACGCACACCTGAAGTAACGATGTCAGATAACATCCGATGAAACACTGAAGATGAATTTTCATCACATGGGCTTACAAGATTTCAAGGGGACAGTTAGCAGCATTGTTGCAGTTCCTCAGCGAGACATCGGTTACAGTCAACTTTACAGATGACGACTGCAGTAAAGATTATAAAGTTGAAGAATACAGTCACAACAGACAGGGAACAGTCTGCTTACATCGGTACTATGCGGCGAAGTTTTCGCGCGCTTCCACTCAGCCATCAAGACACGTGTTGACTCATGCAACTCCGGCACAAGCCGAACGGAGAGGTTACGGACAAGGCCGAGTGTTGACGAAGAAATCAATGACTGCACAAGATTCTACGAGGATCATGTACCTGCAACACCGGTGACGTCACAGTCACGTGCCAGGAAGTCGTCTACAGTTATAACAACTCTTTCAACGTGGGAAAGGCTCCATTTACAGTCCAGTTAGCGGGGTACAGCGTGGTTCGACTGTCTTCACGGGTCATAGAGGACTTCCCCTGTCAGCAGATTTAATATTAGTTATCTGGGGACTTGCAGCGACAAGCGTGAGACGGATTCTGCTCACGGCAGCCGGTCGGCAATAAATAGACTTCACATCGATGGCAGTCCCAGTACATCATAGATTTTTGCTGATCTAGAGACGACGTAATATGCATCATGGCTGCACATTGTTCAGATTATGGTGACAACATCTTCATTACATATTACCGGAAGATTGATGAGACAAGCTTAAAGCCATGATTCCAGAATCGATCATGTCTCCACTTCCATGAGGGACATGGCAAGGGCTCCTTGATCCACATACCTACAATGTAGGACATGATTGCAGTAGATGGCTAGTAATCTCGTAATCGGAGTTGGAACCAAAACAGGATCTTCAATTTCTGGGAATATGGCTCATCACACCACAGAATCACACTGTCGTCCCAGAGGATCGTTGGGTCAAGATACAACATATGATATCTCAAGCAATGCTCTCTCCGTTGACACTACGTGCTTGGCAAAGCATGCTTGGTCTACTCACCTCAGCTCAAGACATGACTCGCAGAGGGAGACTACAGCTGCGCCCACTACAAATATTTGTGAACGCCCATCTCGACAGTCTGGATCCGCTGATACTTCCGGACAGCCTGAAACCATACCTCCTATGGTGGACTCGGAAGTCGAGTGTTTGCGAAGGAACCTTTTTGTCAGAGCCGGTTTGCAACACTCATCTCTACGTAGATGCATCACTACAAGGATGGGGTGCCCACCTCGACAACGAAGTGGCACCAGGGAAGTGGTCGATTCAGGATCAGAGTCTGCACATCAACTTGTTGGAGATGAAAGCAGTGATCAACGCTTTACAACACTGGTCCAGCGTACTGAAGAACGCAAGACTCATGGTCCAGACTGACAACTCCACAGTGGCATTCTACATCAACAAACAAGGATCAACAAGATCAACAAGTCTGCTACAACTCAGCTTTCACCTGTTCAGCATCGTCGACAACCTGAACATCTACATGAAGGCATGCCACATTCCAGGAGCAAAGAATGTCATAGCAGACGCCCTATCTCGTCCACTACAACCATCCCCGATGGAATGGATGTTACACCCAGAAGCGTTCCGGTTCGTCATACAGACAATAGGATCTCCACTGGTAGACCTGTTTGCAACAAAGTTCAACAAGCAACTACCAGCATTCGTCTCTCCGATTCCAGATCCTCAGGCGTGGGCAACAGACGCTTTAAGCATCTCATGGGGAAAGACTAAATGCTTATGCGTTTCCACCTCCAGCACTACTACCACATTTAATACAAAAAATCAAGCAGACGACAACGCTGCAACTGATTTTGGTCGCGTCTTATTGGCCAGCGAGGGTATGGTTTCCTATCCTCATGCAAGAACTCGGAAGTCCAACCCTGAAACGACCAGAGTGGTCTAACCTGCTCGTCCATCCACACACCAAGCAAGCTAGCGGGAATCCGGCATTGTTCCAGCTACACACGTGGAGCATATCAAAGCTTGCCTGAAGACTAGGGGGTACTCCGCCAGAGCAGCGAAGCAGTAACACTAGCTCTACGCAGATCAACTCGCAACCTGTACGATGACAAGTGGCAGAGATTTGAACAGTATGCAACGAGGAAAGGCTTTACAGAGGTAAAAGCAACCCATCCTCAAGTGGCAGAATACCTGTGTCATCTGCGACAGATGAAACACTTAAAAGGTTCAACACTCTCAACGTACTTGGCTGCTCTCAGCACAGTTATCACCATGAAGACGGGTGTCAAGCTGACAAAAGTACCAGAGATACTGGCACTACTACGCTCGTTCAAGTTGTCAGACCAACAAAAGAAATTCAAGGCTCCTGCCTGGGATCTCAACATAGTTCTACAACATCTCACCAGTGATGCCTATGAGCCTCTAGAACGGACATCCAGAAATACATGCTCTGGACTTCGAACGAACACGATTTAAATCAATACATCGTGACATCGTACATCTAGGACTGAGATGGGATTTTATTGCCCAAGAACCAACTGCCCGGCCAGCCTGACAGACAGTTCCACATCCTAGCACTCTCTACAGTCCTTGGGACACAGGATACACAGGATCTATCCTTATGCCCTGTCAGAGCACTAAAAGGACAAAAATAAGGAGACGAAAATTCAAGCACCTATTCATCTCCTTATCCACTGAGACGCCCACCGAAGTCTCTCGGACAACGATATCGATATGGATGAGAGCCGTTATACTAAGGGCCTACAAAGCAGCAGGACTTAAGCCTCCATGAGCCTCCAATCCCCACAAAGTCAGAGCCCTGGTGTCTACACTTGCTCTGCATGGAAACTGCTCGATTACAACAATAATGGAGGGCTGCTTTTGGGAATCGGACACGGTGTTTGCCAACCACTACCTCAGAGACATTGCCACCGAAGACTTCTCAGGCATTCACCAGATTGGGCCACTTGTTGTAGCACAACAATTAACGGTTCCACAGAGGCACTGAGAAAAATCTCACCCTTTTATCACGTTGACTTGTGAAAACCAACGCTCTGGAGAGCAAATGGTTTAAGTCCATGCACACATCTAGGACAGAATAGCATGAGTGATAGACCCTGTACTTGTATAGGACATACTTGTACATGAAGAAGGGTCGCATCTCCACTTGATGCACGCATCAAGAAATGGAGTTGCAATAGATAACTAATGGAATATTTGTATATCTAAAATCCACACGAAAATGTCAGGAGAAGTTTCGGAAGAAATCTGACAAGTTGTGGTCCCCCCAGACTCATCAGAGAGAAGTTGAAAGAATTTTCAACAGTGCCGTCATAAGTTCCCAAGGGGTGTAGTACAGGACGTAAATCTACAACCAGTGAATCCAGAAAGTGGCTTGAACCACCACCGTTTCCGACAGATTCTGCAAGCATAAATAGCATGAGTCAGGATAAGGAAAAATATGTAATTTTCTGACCAAAATTGATATTTTATACTTATCCTGACTCATGAGGTTAGCCCTCCCAACCTCCCCTCTTATGGCACTCTGGATTTCCCTGTAAATCCTGGTGTCGGGCTTACATACGGAGAGAGTGACAAATATGGCTGATCATGTGACCATTTGGTCCGCAAAGGGAGGAAAGGGACGCTACTCTTGAGTGAGTGATTTTACGTCCGCTTTTTTAAAAGGGAACTTCAAGGGATTTCAAGTGTTCCACTATCATTCGCAAGAGGAAGGAGACAAGCATAATTAGCATGAGTCAGGATAAGTATTAAATATCAATTTTAGTCAGAAAATTTCATTTATGAACATGGTAAAGAAATTAAAGGTCTGTGTACCTTTTTTGTGTAATATCTAATCGAATATTAGTTTCTCTCCACAGCGATTGCTGATATGCATTCATTTACTTAATTCCTATGAATAGATAGCCTCTGTTACATTATTGCCAGAAATCCTGTTTTATCTGTCATCAGTCCTCAAAAGATTTCACATTTTCAACAGAAGTCCTCTTCACTGGCAACTGTCCACATCTAGTTGAAATACAAATAGTATCTCCCCTCCTAAACTGCATTTTGCCATCTTGTGCATCAGTGGACAGGTTGAGTGAGTGAGTGAGTGAGTTTTAGTTTATACTGCTTTTAGCAATATTCCAGCAATATCACGACGGGGGACACCAGAAATAGGCTTCACACATTGTGTCCATGTGGGGTATCGAACCCGGGCCTTCGGCGTGACAAGCGAACGCTTTAACCACTGGACTACTCCACAGCCCTGGACAGGTTGAAACAGTAATATCAACTTAGAATCCAGAATGCATGACCCTATGGAAACATCATGAACCATTACTCAACATCAGTTTGATTCTAATCTGCCATTGTATAGCCCCACTGTTCTCACAGGGAAACATGTATATTTAAAGCATAAGTTAGTGATATCGAACTGAGGCTTACAAAGCTTGAAGATGGACTAATGTTTAGTCTCTGTAAATATATGATGTTGATAGAAAAAACATCTATAAATTAAAAATGAAAACAGACCTGTGGAAAATCTAGACTTGCGTAATTTACATATTGGGGATACAGCATTACAGAGAAGGCTGGGTGGAAGGGGAAATAATATGGTTTAGGGACTGTGAAACAGACTATGGTGGAGATAACTATTAGACAGATCCGTCACATGCTTGACATTCTCCAATGCTTTGTTTCAGGCAGAGATTGAGATGAGGCGCAAGATGGAGCTCATCCATCAGATCAGGGCAATGGAGGCTGTCCCAGCAGTTCGACAGAAGTTTGTGGACCTGACGTCTACAGCAGGCATGGGGCTGCTCAGTGAGATGTCCATAGCTGAGGTGAGATCATCTAGTCAGGCCAACTGGTGGTCACCTGACTTGCTAGGTTTACTGACTTGCAACTACAGTAAATTGATCGGTGCTCATGATGTCAATCACTTGATCGTATAGTCTAGACTAGATTATTTAAAGACCACTGTCATATAGCTTGAATATTGATAAGTGAGGCATTCAATAATATCTTACAACCTGAGAACTGATATTTCCTGACATAAAATAGTCAGTAACTAAAAAATTAAAGACAGTGGATAGTTTTAACCATCTACTCTAGAACCACATACAGTTGTCATCATTAATATTTACCAATTATTGTGATTCCTGGATAACAACCGATTGAATATTTGAACCCATTCCTTTCTACAATCAACCACTTTCTACAAACTATTCATTATTCTTGTACTGTAGAGTATTTAGAGAGCTATGAAAGCTTAAACAGTTTGGATTGTTCAAAGGTATTGATTTAAGATTAAGGCATGTGTACACTGTTCTGTTGTGCAGCTACAAGAGCGTCTGAGTCTGATGAAGACGTCTCAGAAGGAGGAGGAAGAGCAGCGCCGTGACGATATCCTTGCATCCAAACAGGTAAGTTCACCTGTCATTGATCAGGTACCAAAATTTCTCACTGCTTTCTTCATTGTTGTTAATGTTCGCAAATTATAATAAATGTTTGAGTGTGAGAAAGGAATTCCTGTCTCTATAGCCTTGACCTCTGTGATTGATCAGTTCCATATAGAATATAAGCTTAGGTTTCACAGGGGATTCAAGACTTTATCTTCTGAACACAGTGTTTGTATGTTTAAAAACAGGAGAGATAAGTAGATATTTTCCAGGTTTTTTCTTGTTTAATATGCAAGTTAAAGTCATTGTCTAGGTTATGAGAATTATCAGATATGTCATTCAACTACAGTGTTTTATGTGTTCTCTCCAACTGAGACCCATGAAGATACGGGGTAGAATAGGTCTTCAGCAACCCATGCTTGCCACACAAGGCGACTCTGCTTGTCGTAAGAGGCGACTAACGGGATCGGGTGGTCAGGCTCGCTGACTTGGTTGACACATGTTATCGGTTCCCAATTGTGCAGATCGATGCTCATGCTGTTGATCACTGGATTGTCTGGTCCAGACTCGATTATTTACAGACCGCCGCCATATAGCTGGAATATTGCTGAGTGCGGCGTAAATCTCAACCCACTCACTCACTCACTCACTCTCCCACTAAGACCTCAAGTATGTCTCAACTCGTGAAGATCCGGGTTAGAATTGGTTTTCGGCAACCAATGCTTGTCAAAAGAGGCGGGATTGGATGGTCAGGCTCGCTGACTTGGTTGATGTCATTGTATACCAATTGCTTAGAATGATGATCATGATGTTCACTGGATTGTCGGGTCCAGATTATTTACAGACCAATGGCATATAGCTGGAATATTGCTGAGTGTGTTATTAAACAACAACCAACCATCAAGTATGTCTCCAGTTTTCTGTTGCTTGTCAAAGGTCTCTGGATCAGGAGGTAGACTTCGTTGATTACATGTCATTGTTCCTCCACAGCGTTAAAGGTTGCTTATAATATCAACCACTGGTTTGTCTGGTCCCAACTAGATTAATCACTGGCTGGCATGATGTACTTAGATTGTTGCTGACTACAGCTAAACACAACAAACAATTCATATGTTTCTGTGTTTCTCTGTAGGCCAAAGATCAGCTTCTGTTGGATACGCTGGAGACGATCTCCAAACACCGTACAGAGCAGACAAGGGCAGCTGCTCTCAAGTAAGTCAAACGTCCCTATCGAAAAGCATTAGATAGGTCATGATCTCGGGTAATTAAGGTAAATGAAAATCTGTTCACAGTAGGGCCACATGGCATTATGTATTGATAGTTTTGTAAGGAAGATAGGCTGTTGACCAGCTGTTCCATACAGTTTTCCAAGTTCTCAATCCTTTAAACCCTTTAAGTCCTCTTATGTGTTTAAAGCACTAACTCGTAGCCTAGTGGTTAAAGCATTCTCTGTCATGTGATATTGCTGGAAAGACCCGAGTTCAATTCCCCACATGGGTACAGAGTGTGAATTCCCAATACCCATTTCTGGTGTCCCCTGCCGATGATATTGCTTGAATATTGCAAAAGCTGGTGATATTGCTGGAATATTGCAAAAAGCGGTGTAAAACTAAATTCACTCACTCTTCTGTGGTCAGGTAGATAGGGTGTCTGCCCAAAGAGTAGTGAGTTAAGGGTATGTTTTTACGCCACTTTTTGCAATATTTCACAGCAGGGAACACCAGATGCACACATTGTACCCATGTGGGCCTGACAAGCCAACATTTTAACCACAAGGCTACTAGGTAGTAGAAGTAGAAGCTTCTTGGCTTTATTCTGGCAACATCATACCAAGAAGACTGTTAAAGAGTTTCTTATTGTTTGCTGTCGGGCATTAAGGATATATAAGGCCTTGTTGGCATGTAATCTTGAACATGATGTTAAAACCTATTTCACCTATACCTCATATCCACAATTCTTTCCAGAGAATCAAATGTTTATAGTTAGACATAAGTCTTCAGCAATACAAAATTTTAATCACATTGCACTTCTGTGATGACTTAGTTGACACATGTCATTGTATCCCAAAATCTGTAGAACGAGGCTTATGCTGTTGATCACTGGATTGTCTGGTCCAGACTCAATTATTTACAGACCGTTATCATATAGCTGGAATATTGCTGAGGGCGGCGTAATACATCAACCAAACCAAAACATTTCTGTGCAATTTTGTTCTGCCTACCATGCATGCAAGACAGTCCATGATTAACAAGTTATTGGCTGCAGCCAAGATCTCGTTCATGAGGTTAATCATTGTACTGTCACCTTCAGTCATGTTCCTGTATTCCTGCAATATTCAACCGTTGGAAATGAGAAATGTCTTTACACATTGTATCCATTTTGACATCAAACCTGAGACTTTCATTCAACAATGATTCCTTTAATCAGTGTATGAAATAAGGCCCGTCTGACTGCCCAAGACGGTCTAGATTTCTGACGGACAGTCTAAATTTACAGCTAGCCAGCCCGATGGATCTAGTAAAATTTTTAGATGTTCCATACATCTTAGTAAATTCACCATTTTTGGTCTGGTTAAATCCATTTTGGGCTGGTAACATTTTGAAGTTACCAGCCCTGATGTCTGGCTGGAGTTTTGGCTTATTTCATACACTGCTTCAATGTAACACTTCACTGGACTGGCACAATTACTGGTATATTTGATATTTTGGACCCATGGGAAAAAATTTGACTGGTACATAACAATTAAATTGGTAAATTCATGGTAATCACTGGTAAATGGAAACACTGACTCTTCTAGCCCACCACCCTAACATCAGCTGAGTATAGTACTGAGGAAAGCACAGTATTCTGGATGGACACCATGAGAATATGTTGGTTATGACTATTTTCACTGCAGATATGAAGAGAGGAAAAAGACGCGTGGAGTGAAGGTGGAAATACAAGATGAGAAGCTGACTGAGCTGCAGCGCCGCCTGGAGGAGAAAAAGTCTGAGAGGCTTCGTGAACAGGAAAATGCCAAGCTAGTGGCCAGTCGCCATTCTGCTCAGAGGACACGAAGCCTTATCCATCAGAAGGTGTGTTTGTTTGTTCGGACCAACGACCACTTACAAAAACCTTTTCTCTTTCCCTTGTACAGTATCCCCATACCGTTGCCGGTTAACCCCATATATTGCGGAGTTTCCCCTGTACACTAATCCCTATTATTATGTAAGCTTATTTTTCTGGCTACCTGATTGGTCTAGAGGCGGTCATGTGACCGGCGACGGAAAAGCATATTGACTCCAACCCAGGTCCGACCATAAGTCATATTGACTTGAGTTACTAAAAATAGATTTTGACGTCAAGCTATGACATCATTCTATTGTTTACATGTCACAGTATTGTTGACATAACGTCATTGGTTTGTAGCGAAAATAAAATTACTTTTCTTGACTAAATGGACATGTTTTGGTTTTTAGAAGCTTTATTTTCGGTAATGACATAATAAAACAATTATGTTTTGGTGAATTCAGTCAATACCTGTTTTTATGGACCCGTGAAAAGCAATATTGACCAAGGACGAAGTATTGACCTCATCACAAGTCTATAATTGTATAATATTGCTAGGATTCCCCTATACTCTAACCCCTTATACTGCTGGGTTTCTGTGTAACTCTTTCTAATGCTGCAATTTCCCTAAACGCCAACCCCAACTCCATCAATCTAGATTTCTGGAGCACATATGGCCCCCTTTATCACATGCTGAGGGCCAGCTGGGGATTGTGTGTCTTTGGACAATATGTCTTGAAAAGATGGTCATACATTCATCCACCAGTTTGCTTGTCGCACACTTATTTATTAGAACACAGACTCATATGACTGTTGCACCTTCACTGATTCACTTGTGCTATCTCTATTACAGAATTACCTGGAGCAGAATCGATGGCAGGAACTTGAACAGTCAAGGGAGAAAACTGCGAGGGTCTTGTCACAAGGAGTTGCCAGTAGTAAATCAGCCAGTCGTCTCCGTGGAGCCAATGCTATTGCCATGACGACATGATGGAGAAAGAGCTCTATTTGCACCGTCATTATTTCTGCTGTGATATTTATTGAAACCGTCCCTAATACTGTTATTGTGAAAGAATATTGTACATACTGAGTATGATTTGATATATACTGAAACCGTCCATCGTATTGTTGTTGTACAAACAGATCTGCAAATAATGAATAAAGACATTTGTTTTAATGCATACAAACGTTGCCAGTACACAGTGAATAAAGTTTATTATTTGTATTTCAATCAGTTGTTATCATGGTTATTGTGGCTCTGGGCGTTGGGGTAGCCTAGTGGTTAAAGCGTTTGCTTGTCACGACAAAGACCTGGGTTCAATTCCCCACATAGGTACAATGTGTGAAGCCCATTTCTGGTGTCCCCCATTGTGATATTGCTGGAATATTGCTAAAAGCAGCGTAAAACTAAACTCACTCATTATTGTGGCTCACTTAGTAATGGGGAGGTGGGTTAGGCTCATGATTGATGTGTTCACCACTCTGGGATTAATTCCCCACATGGTCAATATGTGTGAAGTGCATAATTCCTTTGATTACCCCTATTTCATCATAGCCTTAAGTTCTTCTTTGGTATGTAATCCTGCAGTGAAAGAATTTGTCAACACACGTCTTCTTTACTGACAAAGTATCTAACAGTTGTCAGGAAAAGGTCACTTCCTTTCTGTGTGTCCAGGAAACGTGTTTGATAACATAAAACATATTTGGTTTGATGAGGTTCCTGAGAGGCATATAGAAGTTGGTATTCAAGTATAAGACAAAATATTATGGATGTCAAATATCTTCTTTATTCTATACACAACCCCCATCAGACGAAGGGTCAAGGAAAAGCCCAGAAACGTTGTGTATAGAATAAAGGAGAAGTTGACATCCATAATATTTTGTCTTATAACATTTGGTTTGATTTGTAACTTCTGGAGATTGTAAAGAAGTGTTCAGACAAGCTGAGAGCAGAAACAAGGACACCTGGTAAGTGGTTGGTTAGACCAGTGTGTGCTAAGGGTGCAGTAGACTAACACTTAGTCCCTGAATATATATCGATTTGATAGTAACAAACAAACCCATTTAATTGAAAAGGAGCCCCGGGGAGACCAGAGATTGAGAACCTGAGGAAATCTAGACTTCATTTTGGGCTCTAGCATTGCAGAGAGGGCAAGGCAGTAGGGAAAATAATGTGGCTCAGGTACTGTGGGACACACTAAGGGTACAGTGTTGATCAAGTGATTGCAGATCCCCTTCCTAGGTGCCATTCATGCGTAAAGAGCACACCTCCAAGCTCAATATGCAACCTCTGCAAACATCTGTCTTAGGAGATGTTGGATGAACTTTCTGAGGGTTGGGATACTAAACCGAAATCAATATTCTGCAAACATCTGTCTTAAGACTTAGAGGGTTGGGATACAAAAGAATCCAACCAATAATCCAAGCTATCACCTAAGATCTAGGAGATGTTGGAAGATCTTTGGGATACTAAACCGAAGATACAAGACTTAGATCATCGGCAGGACTGCCAGCTTCAAGTAGCATCAACTGTAGCATCATTAGGGACCAGGATTTTCGAGAGCGCTAAGATAGTCGTGTGCCATACATTAACATTAACTTACGACTATCTTAGCGCTAAGAGACCTTCGGAAAATCTAGGCCCAGGATCAGACATGGACACAGGTCAACTGTGGAGTGTCGTCTGCAGCTCCTTTGACCATGTCATCAAGATGCAGGATGATCTCTTGTCCACTGACGTATGGGTGTCTTCTTACACATCTCAATCATCTCATACAACCTGGAATGAGGTGCGTCTGTTGCAGCTCATGACAGCTCAACGGTTCTTCAACGGAAGACTACACTCCATCGCTTAAGAAATTGTCCCTTTGGCCCATCAGAAGTTCAGAATCCTGCCCATCAAATCCATCGAGATCCTCCTAATCAAAGACGTTTGACATCAGGCTTCTTTCAAGACCCAGGCTCACCAGAGTTTTATTCCAGCAATGTTGCAGAGGCAGTCCCCTGGAGGAGGCTCTTTCCAGAAAGAAACCAGAACCTGTCCACTTTGCTGTCTCACGGACATCGATTGTAGACCACTGGTATTCAGCAAAATGTCAATCCCATGACAGTCACGGGGCGTCTGATGCCTTTTGTCTAAAACTGAAAGGCACCCAAACTTTGTGCTCCATCCCGTAGGGCGCCGATTCCATCTGACATGGACCAAGTTAGCTTCTGACAACTTTGCTATACAGTAGCTTTTATACAATGGAACCATCAGCGCATTGGGCACCACCAAAGGATCCATTCACCAATTGACCTTGGCAAGTTCATGATAACTAACTTAAATGTACCCAACAAGGACTCTCTGATAGTCCTCTCAAAGTCACCGCCTCCGTGATGAAGTGGTTAGAGCGTCCGCCCGGAGAGCGGCAGGTCGCGGGTTCGATCCCCGACCGCGTCAAACCAAAAGACGTTAAAATATGGTACTTGTTGGTCCCTGCCTGGCGCTCCACTGGGTACAACAAGGACGAGTCAGTATAAAGTGGGGTACTGCGGCATGGTATCTAAGTCTGCACTATAAAACCAGCTTAAGTACAAGCAGCCGCACATACACTCACACACGCATGCACGTCGTCATATGAGCGAAATATTCTCAAGCACGACGTAAAACCCAATTTCACCTCACCTCACCTCTCAAAGTCTAAATCGACACCGTAAAGGAGATGAGGAGATTAGATGATAAGTCTAGACTTGCAGGACGCCGATCTTAACGTACCCATTTACCCAGATGTCGACCTTATTCTATGATTCGTTATCAAAAGTGAGAGGTTCGACTTCAACTTTCTAACCGGCATATTGATTTGTTTCATGACTATTTACCCAGATTACCACTCCTGTCATCGGGTTTTCTCATCTAAAACTAGTAAGACTGCATACACCGACGACCTTCTATCGGCCCATCCGGCTTTCTCATGGTCTGGTTCGGGAGGCTGTTGAATTCATCCCGGGACACACCTTACTCACTTTAGTCCGTCAACTTAACTTTTGGCACCCTGTTTTTCACAATTTACATAAATCTCTTGAATATTTTAAAACGCTACTCTGTTCATATTGTAATTGTATACTGTGACCTAACAAGATATCGATTTTAGTAATTCTAAAACGATTATTAAAGATTTTGCCTTTAAACCTGTCATCATCGAGATTCAGTCAGTGGGCCTGATTTCATAAAAGTAGAGCAAACACATTCACTAAAACAATCCCAACTTCTCCCTTCTCCCGAGTGTGGCATTTCATTATCAGTTATTTTTAACATTATTCTAATTCTATATTGGTATTAAATGTTTATCACAGTTTCAATTTTGACGAGAATATACATTTTGATAAACATAAGTCACAGAAGGGTTCTTTCATCGAGAATAACCTAAAACGTGATAAATTTGCTTTTTGCGTAGGTTTCTATTCTTTACATTCTGTCATCGAAACCCATCGAGTAATTATCGAAACATTAACTTTGATGTATAAATATATTTATGTCATCCACCTCACACCATAGTTGTAGCAGTATATCTATACACAAAGAACTTAATTAAGCACCCCCTGTATTTCAATGGTTTTCAACACGTACATGAAAGTTTTTCTGACCTTTATGATCCTTTGACTCATAAAAACGACAAAATGATTGGAATCCATGTTGATTTTATAATGATAATTGCTCATTTAAAAAAAACAACAACACTGATTTCCATACAAAACCATGTCTGTACAAGTATGACCCTGGAACGTTCAATGTTGAATATTTATTGGTGATTGTATGTCAACATACAAATGCCACGATTCAAGGTCAATACCGAGTGTATCCTCCATGTGACTGTATGACAGCCAGCACTCTCCTCATACCCCCTGTCAGCCTCCTGATCTTCTGAAGGGGCAGTCTACGCCATTTAGTTGGGCCAGGTTCTGTACAGGATGTCCCAGATATGCTCCAAAGGATTAAGATCGGGGCTCACTCAATCGTGAGATATGTCAGGGGGTGCTTAACTAAGTTCTTTGTGTATATATAATTATGCACAACGTGCAGAGGGCACCAAAAAACTTGCATTTAGAATAAGCGCGTTTGTTCCGGTTCCGATCACGTGATATGCAAATTAACCTGCTTATTATTTCATGCTAATGCCGTAATGCTAAGTCATCACTGCGCCGGAGTTTGGTACATTATCGGTCTTAGTTTTAGGGTACAATTTGGTCAGGGGTGCTATATACGGCGAATACAGTACTCAGTAACCATGGAAACCTGAGGACTCATATTGTTGTTGTAATTACTCATTATACATATATCTAGGCTGTATATTTCTATCTACATAAGACCGCCTCCGTGGTGTAGTGGTTACAGCGTCCGCCCGGAGAGCGGAAGGTCGTGGGTTCGATCCCCGACCGCGTCATACCAAAAGACGTTAAAATATGGTACTTGTTGGTCCCTGCCTGGCGCTCGGCATTACTGGGTACAACAAGGACTGGTCGGCTCGGAGTCAGTATAATGTGTCTGAGTGGGGTATTCATGCTTCACTGCGGCATGGTATCTCAGTCGGCTAGCACTATAGAACCAGCTTCAGTCTGGGCTAGTACAAGTTGCCACACATACACATACACACGCATGCACGTCGTCATATGAGAGATATATTCTCAAGCACGACGTTAATCCCCATTTCACCTCACCTATCTACATAACGAAGTATCTTCCTACATCCACCTCAGACATACTGTCACAAAACATTACCAGCTGAGAAATATGCTTCCTTTTTTAACAGATGAAAGGTTTGGAGCGGATTTTATGAAGAGGCTCATCTTGCTTGTCGGTTCATGTTCATTCTTTCGATCACTGGTTTGTCCTGCTCAGTGAAGATCCGGGTTGGTCTTCATTAACTTATGTTTATTGTAAGAGCTGACTAACGGGAGCGGGGGTCGGGGGTCACGTCTGGTTGGCACGTCATCGTATCCCAATTGAGTAGATCGATGCTCATGCTGTTGATTACTGGATTGTCTGGTCCAGACTCAATTATTTACAGACTGCTGTCCTATTGCTTGGTGCGGCGTAAAACAACAACCAACCTGCCCAGAATTGATTATCTACAGTACA